TGCACTTATTGTACAGAGAGAGAGAGAGAGAGAGAGAGAGAGAGAGAGAAAGGTGCACAGCAACAACAGTAGCAACAACTACACTAATAGTAGTGGCTAATCCATGGCTGATCTCCGCTGGGTCCCTGCTCTGCACTTAGTTGGTATGTGAACCCCCCTCATGACAAAGCATCCTAGTTCCCAACCCGGGGGTCGCGACCCCCACTTGGGGTCACCAAAGCGTTGCAGGGGGTCATGAAGCCTTCTTAATTTAAAGGGTGTATTTTTTTTTAAATGCATTACATTCCTTTCTGTAAAGAAAACTAAATAAGATTGTTATTTTTAAAGTTTAAATTATTATTTAGGACGTAATCTTAAAAAGTCTCACAGGATGAGGGCAAAGTGAAGAAAGACCTGTGAAGAACATAAGCTATATTCAGTCATTGAGCTGTGGGTTCAGGTAGTGGGCTGAAGGAATGTAAACAGTGTGATCAAGCTAAATTTGAAAATATGAATAAAATGCATTGTATATCATTTGAATGTAACAACATCACTACTACATATAAGAGTGCTTAGAGGACATATACAGACTTGAAATAATAAATGGAAAAGGAGTGGAATCAGTGAGTTGGCTGGTCTTCAGTGGCCTGACTGCTGTTGGCTGCCAATTAAATAACGCAACACAAGCTTATAGACCTCTGATCTTTATGCTCATAAATTGAATGGGCGGTGTCTGTAAACATGCAAAAAAAGTGCATCGATAAAAATTAACACATATGTAAAGAAGCCAAGAATGGCCGTGCTTCCAATTATTTTTTGCAGTTATCTCGAGATCACACATTAATTATGTAGTTATCGCGAAAAATGTGTTAGATATAATCAACCTGTTATCATGAGAAAACAAAAGTTTGTTTCCTCATATCACTTTTCATGCTTATCAGAGATCATGCCAGTGTGCATAGATGGGCTACGGTCAAGCCAGCCGTCACTCATGTCTCCATGGTCAAATCAGCCTAACTGTAGTGCACCCATATCCATATACTGAGGTTCAAATACAGGTCAGGTACATGCTTTCAAATGGCCCAGATTGAGCTGACGGGGAGCGTGATCAAAGGATGGATAAGAAGAATACACATGTGACTATGTTCAGTTTCAAGTTCAAGTTATAGGCAAAATTTTGCCGATGGAAAAACTGTCATGGCTATTTTCAAAGGGATCCCTTGATCTCTGAATGAAAATGGGTTCTAACAGGCATCCATGAGTGTCCCCTTTACAGACATGCCCACATTATGCGAAAACCATGCATTTTCTTGCATGTGGTATAAGTGTATAAATGTGTTATTTTAACCTAGTGTATTTGAATATTTTTGCATACTGAGTTCACCTAACAGTGTTGGCATGGAAATGACTGGAAAGCTGAGACACGTACTTGATGCCACCCCTGCAAAAGTCAGTGTTCTGCCACCTCAGTCAAAAAAGTCTGGACACTCCCCTGTGCGTAAGGAGGTGGCATTATCATATTTGATTCCCCTTTGGCCACTTTACAAATGTTATTGGGTTGACCACAAAAAACAGGCTCTCTGCAGCTCCTATGCAGAACCCTTATATAACCCACTATATGATATACGGTACACTTCCTGTACAGTCTAGTGACTGTCACACATGTTCTGCAGAGAAACACAGAGATAAACGCTCTCTGGTGCAGAGTCTGTGGTCACAGCACGACAGGTTACATGACCATAAAAAACTAAAGATCCTATTAGGAGAGGGACATACAGCTAACATAGCTGCACAATATTCAACTTCATGTCACAAACTGAGGAACATGGGATGAAAACATAATTACTGAATGTGACAAATTGTTATCTTGAAGCCTAGCCATTCTTACCCTCAGGTGTGTAAAAACTTTGATTATATAATTTAGATGTATAAAAATGTGAAATCATTGGTTATTTTATCAATATCAGCCATGAGAAGCAGGTAATTATGGGTTATTGTATTGGCAAAACAAAAAAACAAAAATCCATAATATCGTACATCCCTAGTTTCATCACAGTGCAGTCATATGGCCTAATTTAGTTTACATCTAAAAAAACATGATGAAGTGTGCAGTACCAACAACAAACTGAAGAGGGCGGCAATGCGTCGTTGTAAAGTCTAGTCGGCCGAAACTAAAGAAGAAGAAGAAGAAGAAGAAAGCAAGAAACTGTAGTAACCGTGGCTAACATGCTAACTTTTCCATTCCGTATCACGTAACGTTACGTTAACATAAGATACAGTCGGAATGAACCACCAGAGTCTTTATATTCGGATAAACTTGTTGTGTAAACTTTCAGGATGTTTTACCCAATGGTTTCACCCCAGACTCCTCTCCTGTTAGCCAACAATGTTAGGGGGAGTTAGCAGGAAATAGACGGGGCCGGCGCACAGTGCTAGTCACAGTAGCTAGATAGAGACCTAACAGTTAACAGTATTCTTCACGGACCCAGGAGTCCAGATGCCCACATAGACCAGCCTGAATAGACTCTGTGCTCTCCCCTTTATTGGAACACGTCTAACATCTGAATTACCTCACTGTGTCCAACGAAGCTAATGAAGTTAACTTAGCTTGCTAGCTGCAAATAGACGAACGCAAACGTATTCAAATTCAACAACACCGCAGAGTGACCAGACAGATAAACTGAGTGTGTTAGGAGGGAAAGTTTCTGTAAATATATAACAATGTATCAATGCGAGTACGAGGAGGGACGCAAACTACTGGACGCTGATATCAAGACTGAAGTCCAGTTAGAAACAGGTGAGTGCACTTCCATTGTTATTTCCACTGAACGAGGTAACGGGAGTTCACATATTCAGGTCCTTTTGTTAAAGGAAGGTAACGTTACTAATGGCACACTGAAAATACACCTCTAAAAGGAACAGTCTTCACAACTGTACTTCACTTAAACTATGCAAGTATTCTCAACAAAATGTACTTAATGGTATATGTGTTCATTATGCAGTAACATGATCCCTGTCAGTGTTCCACTATTGTATAGGGACTTTCTTAAATGTACCCCAATTTTTGTTGGAACATTTTATTTGAAATGAAAATAAATTATCAAAATGTAATCTGGCACGGGCGTATTGGGTTCCTAACATGGCCTTTAAGCCCATGATGGGGGTTTCAGATTAGGCCCACTTCCACCACAGAAACTCTTGGTTG